CAAAAGAAAAAACAAAAAATGAAATGGCGTGAAGTGGACTTCATAACGATGTCCTTGAGGGATCAGCGCCCCTGGATCCACTTAAAGGGCAGTTCTTTCATCTCTACATAGTTTAATATTATTCCTCCATTAGTTCAGATGTGAACAACAATGAGTGTGAGCGGTGGCTTCCAGTACATTACGTGGGCAGCTGTGCAGCCACCCACTCAGGCTATTTTTTTTTTTTTTTGAACAGCCGTGATAAACCTTCTCTGGAAACTATGCAAACACCCACCGTTGAGTTTTACGCTTACAGTCCTCATTGTCAAATTAATTAGAACAAATAGTGAAACTATCCTTCAAAAAAAAAAAAAAAGTGCAATTGCTTTTTGACTGTTTGGCTCTTGTGGTCTAATGTGAACGATAGCGTATTAGCACAATAGCTGCTGAAGGTTCTAGTTTCTGTGGTGTACTATCTAGCTTTCATCAAATATTCAAAGTATGTACTGTTCCTTCATCGGTTCTTTTTGAAATGAAGTAAGTTTGGTTGACTAGCCACATAGCGTAGCGAGTATTCATCTAAACATAATGCTTGCAAATTAGCCAATCATGGCAAACAAAATGCATAATATTTGGAAAAGTAAAATAGTATGGAGAAATCCATCATTGACTATTATATTAGTTAAACCGAACAATAGAAATGTGTGCCTGGTGCCATTTGCTGCATTTCCCTGCTGTGTGATGTTTATGTGTGAAAAATTATCCTCGGGTGCCAAAAGGCTTTTAGCATGCAGCGTGGTTGCTCTCTGCAATTTCATGGCCATCCTGCAAAGGTACACCAGGTCAATCTTGGCAATCAAAACAAAAAAAACATCATCCATCCATCATCTTTAGCACAATTATCCCGGACCCAGACAGATCACATTCATACCTGCGGGTAATTTCGAGATTTAAAAAAATAATAATAATAAAAGGGTGAGCTTGTCGACAAATATTCGTAAAGTGATGCTTGCTGCTGTTTACCAATAATATGTGCCATGTAGTCTGCAATCAGCGGCGTGTGAGTGCACACACTCATCACCAAATCTGTCATTCCGAAGTCCCCCCAGGCTGCAGAAGCCCACACGGAGGCCCGTAATGAAAATGTTCCCTTTTTACCTCGTCTTGCTTTCCTTTTCCCCCTCTTCACTGCACTGCCTGGCAACAACATCTGACAGCAAGTTTTCCCTTTTGTGACCAAAAGGCACCCTGAGAAATTCCAGAGAGTCTATTAACAACTGCTGGACAACCTTGTGGGGCCTTGCATTTTAAATCTTGTTGAATATATGCAGCCAGTGGTTTGAACCTACCGAAACAATAATGAAAGAAATGGACTCTACAGTAACGGTACTTTACAAAACCATACCGTAATAACATAATAGATTGTAAAAAATGAAACAAGTTTTATGCATTTTTTTACATTCACTGTGTTGATACTTCAGGTTTGTGCACCTTGGCCACCAGGGGGCAGTATAATGCTCAAATATGTATACACAAAGATGATCACAGGGACTCAGTAAGCTGCAGTGATAGTCTTTTCCCAGAGGATAAAGAACGCATGCTTCTTGTTGTTACATTAAAATTTATAAGATGAATGGATTTTTTTTTTTCCCCAACTGACTTTTCTCACACATTCAATTGCGTGGTGAGGGTGGTGGTGAGGGAGTGGGGGGTGACAATGAACATGCTTTACAAGTGTAGCATTTGTAATAGATCCCCCCTCCCCCTTATCATTCCTAATGCCCACTCTTCTTGTCTTATCTCTTTTTGATGGAAATGCTTTGCATCTGTCATGACAGATAAGGGGATAAAGGACATAAAGGGAGATGCTATCGGGAGATAAGACAAAGATCAAGATAAGGACGGAACAACTTTGCAAAAAAACAACTAATGGGCTTTCCCATTGTTTAATAGAGTAAAACTAAAATTATTGTAATAACATGTTTCCATAATTAAAACACTTTTCCCATGGAAAAAAAAATATATATTACCCTGTATATGCTTGTAATTTGTACAATTGCCAGACAGGTTTAAATTAACTTTGTACTGCTGTGCCTCTAAGTGTAGTTTATCATTTATCTTTTCATATTTTACACTGTTGGCATCCATGTGTACGGCAAAGTATGTCATTGCACAGCTTCTGTATTGAACACTGAATCTTTAATCTCGAAACTTTCCCCATCCTCATTAAGAATGGAAAAATTAGTCAACCAGGGTTACTAGTAAATACCCTGTATAGTGAATTAAGAGATAATATGGTGAATTATTCATGTTAGAACACAATTGCGGCAAACGTGTTAAGACTGAAAACGATGTAGAGTCATATTCAATTGTGGAGATATCGCATAACTCTTTTTCACCATTTCAGTTTTCTTGTTTTTTTTTTTTTTTCGGGCATGGCTAAAATGGTGCTTCTGGCATGTGTCAAATAAGAACTGAGTGCCTTGGTTATCCGGCGCAATTGCGATTTCCTTAGTTATAATGACTTGGCCAATTTCGACAACGATGGTTAGCTAGCTAGTTATGCTTACACCCAAAAAATGCATCTTCCCTTGATGCCACGACTTCCAAAACATTTTGGATTATTCAGGCTACCATAAAAAAATTGAAATGGGAATTCGCCGGCGCCGTCCATTTACCAGCCGAGAGGAGCCGCGGTTAGCTCGCGAGCTAGCTGGAGGCTAGCGCTTATCGTCGCAAGGCTTTGTGGCATATTTTCCAGACAAGGGAGGCTTTAAACGGACATACTTTGTTTTTTTTGTTTTTTCTAACATGGAGGAATGTGTAGGATATAATACAAAGACCAAATTCCTGTCACAACAGTGTAAAAAAAAATCGTAACTACTGTAAAACACAAAAAGAAAAAAAAAATGTTTCCAAAACTAGTCGAAGGCATATTTAATTGTACAGGCAATGTCTTGTCTAACTTTTGAACATTCTTAACTGCCACAAGTGTGAAAGTCAGGCAACTTTGTTTGACTCTTAGCACACTGTTCACACTTTCACACTCCCAGAACTCAAGTCTCCTGGGCTATCATTATAAATTAGCGCGTAGCTTTGTTATATCAATTAGGAGACACGCTAAAGCTGGTTTTTAGCCTCCCTGCCTCTCAAACTCTGCACGGAAAACCGCTCCAGTTTCCTTCAACCTCAATTTAAAATATTTTCCGACAACAAAAGATGGGATTATACGCCTTTCCCAAAAAATAGAACGCAGCAGATTTGCGTTCAGATGTTTATAATCCGGCTCTGCTCTGCGCATACTGTATCACATGAGGCCAGACTTTCAGGTCATACAAGAGATGAAGTAAATTGTGCTTAAAACACAATATCGGGGTTACTGTATCACATGAGGCCAGACTTTCAGGTCATACTAGAGATGAAGTAAATTGTGCTTAAAACACAATAACGGGTTTTTTTTTTCACTTCATGTAATGCAAAGGGAATGCTGCGCGGACTAACATCCTTTCATTAACATGCAACGAGGCTCTGAAGGAGAGTTATTGAAGAAAAGTGTTCCGGCGAAGCTGCAGAGGCGGCATACTTTTATATAGTCCCATCGAAATCCTCTGGCAAGGTGAGAAGTACTTCATCAAGATATGAATGGGCTGCAGCCAGTGATGCTCATCAGGCTTTACGCCTTGAAACAAAGCACGGCGACTCATCGGAAGCAATAAAAGGCTCCGGTGACGAGAGCCAATGAATCCAAAGCAACCTCAGCTCTGATTTCACTCAGTTATAAGTACCCTATAAAAAAAGCATGTCAAACAAATGGCATGAATGGCGCGCATTAGAGTCGTGATTGACTCTTAAAAGAGCAAAAAGTCTTCATGTCAGTTGGGCCATTTCCTGATGCGCAGTGGAGGACCTTATTTTTCTCAAAGGTTGTTTCAGTGCCGTCGTATTTATTTTCATTGTTTCAGTATTTGAATGTTAGCGACAGGAACAAAGAAACAAAGATGAGATCTTTCAATCTTTGATTAGAAGCATTCTCGGAAAGCGCCACGATGGAATTTTCTTTGTGCTCAAACAAAAAATAGGTGTACGTCTCACTGGATTTTGCCCTGATCTTGAAACTGCTGTTGTGTTCATTTGTACTTAATTTTCACAGAGCGAGATAACCGCACATTGGATCTGATTGAACCATTGTGCATTTGATTCAAATATGGTTGCTGTTCAACAAAACGCGTTTTTAATTTTTTTTTAAAGCGAATTGTGGGTCTCCGGTGCCGGTGTGTTTGTATGTGTGTGTATGTGTGTGTGTGTGTGTGTGTGTGTGTGTGTGTGTGTGTGTGTGTGTGTGTGTTTGCTGCTTGCGGATATTATTACAGCCCTAAAATATGAGTGCATGCGTGTGCTTTTTGAGATATGAGGCGTGCGCTGTCCACACTTCCGTTACGAATCCAGCACTGCTCAAAGGGGGCCCCCCCGAAGTATGCACTGGATATATATATATATTTTTTTTATGGGATAGCAGAGTCGGTGGGGCTGGGTCTGTATCGAGAGATACGAAACTTACTGAGGTGAGTGGGTGATATCGAACTTTCTACTATATTTATGATACGCCCAATCTGTCCAATTTTGCAATTGGTGACTTGTCACCAGCTCGACAGTAATGTCTCAGCGACCCCAATCCAAAGTCAAACTCTAAAGGCAAGCAGGTCACTGACTATCGAGGGAACGGACAAGAATGATGTGGCTAGCGCCCCCCCCACCGCTCTTAAATATTTACCAAGTGGACCCTGGACAAGCAGTTTTATGATGCCAAGAGATTCGCTCCAGACCGAGAGCGTCAGCAAATGTCAGGATGAATCATCCAAGTCACATGAATAAGTCATAGCCAAGCTATGCTTAAAAAAAAAATCTCGATCCTGTCTGATTCAGTATGTCTTTGGGATGTCCCACACACGTCCGCACACCAAGGACACTTCTGGAAATATGTTATGTCACACATGCACGTATCTTTAGAAAAGCAGCAATACCTGATTGGAGTTTGGAAGATGACACCACATTGCGGCTCAGGATAATGCCGGCACCTAGAAAGTTTAGAAAAAAAAGAATTTTGTCACACATTTTTTACAGACATACTTGGAGGCAGGAATGATGAAGACAAACCACGATTCTGAGTTTTTTTAAAAAGCGATTTATTAAAAATGCGTTTTATAGTATCGCATACATTTCATACACAGGATAACTCAATGTGCTTCACAAAATTTAAAACAACAGATTTAGACATTGAAAAGCAAAGACACAGCAAAAGCATGATTTTGGAGATCATGATTTTCAAAATATTTTGAAATACCTTCAAGAAGACCATTATAATAATCAAGTCTACTGGAGATAAAAGCATGGAAAAGCTTCTCCGGTCTGCTTGCCCCAATACTTGCTACCATACTTACTGTAATGCCCATGTGGGAAAGGAGATTAACACTACTTTTCAGATGTGCATTAAACACCTCGATAACAGTACAATGCTGTCGCTTCTGAAGCTGTCGGCCACAGCTCACACCCAGACACTCACACGTGATGTCAGCAGCTACAAGACTTTATACGATGATGCTGGCAATTTGTTTTATGTCCAAGAGCAATTCCAATATTCTTTAAAAGGTGCAGTGCAGGGGTCTCAAGCTCATTTTTGTCGCGGGCGCTACCGGTTCCCTTGGAGGGCCGTTATGAGCCATATAAACCATCGAAGGAAGTCAAGAATAATGGTTTATTCAACTATAGTTTAAGTTACTGTAATGAAGGTTTTGGTAACATGAAAACTTTCCTATATATTACGTACGTGAAATTGAAATTTTGGTTCAAATTTTAGCATTTAATAGAAGTCAACATGTTTGATTTGCTTTCGCGGGCCTCATCAAATGATGTGGTGGGCCAGATCTGGCCCCCGGGCCTCGAGTTTGACACCTGGGGTGGTGTGAATTCGTTTTGATGTCCCTAAAGCATGTGGGAGAGGTAAAACTCAGAAATTGTGATTTTGTGTATTTGACAAGACAGTCAGCCCCCTTATAGCAGGGGATCGGAAAAAAAATCATGATAAACCCCACCAAAAATTTGCCATGTTACATACCAGCGTAAACAGAGAATTGTAAAGTATTCTAAACAACAGTCGATTCATTTTAAAAAAAACACTTGATGAGTATTGTTAGTTTGCCCAAAGTTGTTTGGGGTGACTTTGTAAGGTTATGCAAACGTGGTTGAATGAAAGCGACATATTTGGATCTGGGCTAAAGATCTATTTCCATCTGTGGCTCACGTATTTGCAGCACACGGGGGCTGTTTTGCACGCACGGTGCTGGAACGCTTCCCCCCTTCTCTCCATCTCTCCCGCTTTCTCTCAGCTGGTGTGTTTTGTGCGTGAGAAAGCCAGAGTGACAGAAGCGCTGGTTAAGTCAAAATCGCTGCATGCAGCCCAACAATGTAATACGTCAATATTTGGGATTATTGTTCTCCTTAAAAAAAAACAACAACAAAAAAACAAACAAAAAAAAACAGCACCAGGAAGCACTGAAGCAATTTGTCCTCATGCGGTGCATACGGTGTCGGGTCATAATGCCGCCTGGTACTATTTACGGTGGAGATCGATGGAGTGACAAGCACTGAAAAAGGTTTGTTAAATTGCCCAATGGTCTGTTTAGCGATAGATTTGTGTGAAGCGCATTTAAAAAAAAAAAAAAAAAAAAAAAAGCTGACTGACAGTTCCGCAGATCCTTTTTTTACAGCATTGCAAAGAAAATTTGGTAGACCTGGTGCTCTGTGGAAACGCTCTCGGTGGAGACCACCCACCTAGCATAGCAGAGAGGTCCCGTCCGATCATTCTCCAGAAAGTGTGCCAATTGATGTTAGACGAGGGACGGTAAGCAATCCATGTTTGAAAGACCCCAAGGACCGATAACTACCCAGGATGGTGTCTTCTACACTCCACATGTTCAGTACCTGAGCCTGTTTCCAGAAAGGAGACGTACTGCCATTAGGGCTAGCTGATCCGGCTAACACGCTAACAGTGTATATAACCCAGTAGACTATGGTTCCGCGCCCTGTGACTGACTGGCGACCAGTTCAGGGTGTACTCTGCCTTTCGCCCGAGGTCAGCCAGGATAGGCTCTGGCAACTCCCCGCGATCCTGTTCAGGATAAGCGCTGTTGAAAATGGATGGGCGGACTGCGGTTCTACTTTGTAACAAAATTGGTGTCAGAAGCGGGACGAGTGGCCACCAGGTCATCAGTTGCATACCCAAGTTCAAAAAGGCAGCTGAGTTAGGACGGGAGTTCCCAATCTGTGTTCTTTTCTCTGCTGTTTAAACGGCGCACATCCGCTTATCTCTTCTTTTAGCTTTTGGGACAGCTAAAGGTACGCGCCGTTTACCGAAGCACATTAATTTGTTGTTAGCATTGTTTTGGAGTCCACGGAGAGAAGAAACGTCCTCGTCATTTGGAGTTGTTTTGACAGTCGGCGCAGGTTTGCAAGGACTGAAGCCAAGCCTTTTAGTCTGTCCCGAGAGTGAAAGCACTTCAATCGTTAGCGTTGACTTTCTGTCACGGGCGATTTATTCGTACAATGCAAGTTAGAATTTAAGGCTAACAACCCATTTGGTGTGCGTCCATCTTTGTGTGGCCATTCATCAATTGAAAATCGCATCTTTTCGATAAACGAAGTGATGCAAAAGTCATTCCATCGGTACCAAAGGATTTTCCTTCAGGACTTGGTACAAAACGAGTCCAGTCTGGGATGGGGATTCAAAATGTCCGTGAATGCCCGGAGACCATTCGCAGACAAAGAAAAACAAAACAAAACAAAACAAAACAAGGTCATTGTGCATCTGGAGACCCATACGGAGCAACAATCAGCCACCAACAGATGCAATGTAGACACTCAACCTAATTGCGACGCTTTGTCACGGTCGCCCTCACTCAACAGGATCAACGCAAGAGAAGAGGATTCAGTGAAATGATGAGGATAAGCTTCTCAATAAAAAAAAAAAAAAGCACACCATCGAGAAATGGCCATCAATCATTTATTCCATTCATATATGATTACGAATTTGTGTTTAATCGTCATTTAATCATGTTACGAAACTAGATAAGAAAACCTTTATCTGTCTCACAATGGAAATTTGTTTTTGACACAACTCTCATTTATTGCGCAATAATCTAATTTTAACATGTATTTGTTACATATTTTGATGCATTTTTATGCTTTAGAAAAAATGTATGCCTGAATTTTGGGGGTGCGGTTGGAACGGATTAGGACAATTACATGGAAAACACGTCTCTACTTTCAAAATTTTCTAGTGAAGAAATTTCTTCCAGGACACATTAATTTCCTAAGTAGAGCTACCAGTGTATTCTAATTCTATCAATCACTTCACGCGAGAGACACTTTGAGCAATCTTCTCATGACCTTGCCAATTCTCAACGTGCTCCATTCTCACGATTATTGCAGGGCTACGGAATCTGGACGCCACACCTCAAGAAGATATCCTCTGCGGGCTCGATGCAATTATCAACCCCTTCGTTCCGACGCGTGACTCCGTCGAGGGCTGATGCGCATATTAACATCGGCCGTGGCGATCAAACGACATACTGATGAGCAGGAATTGCGAAGGGGCTTATTGAGATGTCTTTTGCACCCACGGAGCCAGAATGAAAACATCGACGCATATATTATTCGTGGTTGACGGGTTTTTTGTTTTTTTGGCAACAAAAGAAATGCTGCGTTTCATGAAAATACAAAACCGTCACTTTGCGCGGAAAGTAACATCAAGGAGAAAAGATTCTTCCATTACAGTAAGTGGATCCACAGTGTTGAAAGCTGCAGTCAAGCAAAACATGAAATAATAATCATGTGCGCAGGAATCGGCTTGGCCGGGGGGGTATTCAGGTAAGTGTTTTGTTTTTAGTTTGTTTTTTTTTTCTTCCATTACGGCACGATTTCATTTTGGCAAATACAACAAAGGCATTGTGGGGGAAATTGCATCAAGCGGAGGAAATCACATGACAACTCCCAAAAGTACAATAAACTGTCAACATTGGAGGGACGTTAAGGAAAACAACTTTGCAGCTCAAAAAAAAAAAAAACAGTTTCACGATCAAAGTCGTGTGAATAAAAGAAGGGATCGCTTTGAGGAGAATTTAGGAGAGGATTAGGACTGTGCTAATTTCGCACAAATTAACTCCAGAGTTGCAGATTACGTCCCTAAACCCCATTTTTGTTTGATCTCCATTCCATCTTTCAGTCATGAACAGCATCCATCACTGGCAGCATGTTGGCGAAAGAACGCTAACTCCAGAGTTGCAGATTACGTCCCTAAACCCCAATTTTGTTTGATCTCCATTCCATCTTTCAGTAATGAACAGCATCCATCACTGGCAGCATGTTGGCAAAAGAACGCACAACAACAACAACAACAACAACAGAATTACGACGCATTCTTTTCTACAGGGCTGCAATACAGGTTTGGCCAAAAGCGTTCGACTCAATCAATATTTTCAATTGAGGCTTGCTGGCACCCATTAATTGCGCGACAGTCCTTTGTGCGACGAGGCACCAATTAGACTGCCGTGAAGGATGAACAATCACGGACGTGATGCTGGGAAATGAGTCATAGCCTTCTGTCGACATCGCTCCGTTGATGGAATCGGGAGATGTCTTGGGAGGGGAAAGTTTTTTATTGTCTGGCCGATGCCGACGACACTCGCCCACTGCAGCGCCGCTCAGGCCGAGGCTTCCAACTGTGGTGCACTGCGCTTGAATTTCCTAACCATCTTAACCCGGTGGGGGGGGTCTCTCTGTTTTGCACTTCAAAAGGAATTGAGTGAGAGGAGGACAGAGATGTGGAAATGGTCGACCCGGGACAGGGAGTGAACATAAAACTGGAGAAAACCAGGGAGTAATGACGGCACGGTAGGCAGCCGCTCGTTCAATTATGAATCAAGACCAGAAGGAAAACCCATTGTGGATCACTTGCCGAGCTCGGTACAGACCCCCTGCCACGGACCTCCTGAAACTACCTTAATCCATATCCATTGGATTG